ATATTTACGAATAAAAAGTCAAAACATACCTTGCACAAAGTAGCCCCCGGCTACTTTGTGCAGCGATAGGAATTCAGTTTAACAATCATGTTTTTAGTAAAATATTGATATAAAATTGTTAAAAAAGTTAATTGTTGACATTTTTAAAGACAAAAACATCAAGATATGTAAAGATATTAGTTTGAAAATAATTTTCAGCGTTAAAAAACCATTTTGTTTTGAAGAATTTTCTCTTAAAAAGAATGTTTATTTCAAAACATTTGAGTTTAAACAAAAGGAAACCATATACTTTTTTTAACATTGAAATGGATGATATTTCAAAAATAATAATTATTACATGTTCATTAACATTTATAATATTGATAAATTTGAACATAACATGCTTGAATGAACACGACAGAACTTGCTCTTCAGTTTCTGTCAAAATCACCTGATGTCAATAAAATATATTTTTATGTGTTAAATCGTTTGATTAATTTTTTAGAAGAAAAATAATAGTTTACCAGCACGTTTCACGTGTTTCTTGTGAATTTTATTAGAGATAATATTTCTGAGGATTTCTTCAATCGACATACTGCAATCGACATACCATCAGCAACTGCTTGCAAACATTGTTGCAACTTTTCTAAAGTGTAATCAAGGTAATTTCTCGTTCGAGGTATTTTTTTTATAATGTCTGACAATTTTTCTGTCGAAAAAAAAACGAATGAAACTTTACACAAAGTAGCCACACAGTGCATTTTTTTCATTTTCCGTTTATTTGTTATTAATTGTAATTTTTTTTTAACGCTAACATGATATAATTGTTTATTAATGTATAAATGACAAATTTTGCACTTACGACAATTGTTTTATCAACGTCTTTGCATTTCACAGCTAAAGTTTCCATGCACACTTTTCGACATCCAACGTCCTCGGAAAATTTTTGACATTGGATGAACGAAACACACTCTGAGATTGTTTTAAAATTAGAAAAAATATTTGTAGTAATAGAAAAGACTTCTATCTTCAAATTCCACACATTTTTAACGCGAAATAAACATAATACTAAATAGCAGCACTTGAAAAATGCCAAATTCGAATTTGCACAAAGTAGCCCCGAATGACGGTACCAGAAATTTTTAAACCAATTTTTGAAAAAATAGATAACTTACTGATTGAACTGATTACTGCTACTGATTGTTAACTTAACTTTCTAAAACCAACTTCTTCAGCATCTTTTTTTTAGCAAGGAAGCAGAAGCGAAACTTTTAACGAAAGATCTAAGCGAACATCAATTTTTCTTCCTGCATTGTAAATATTGTAAGCAAAATAAATAAAAAAAAATTTTACGTAGCATCTTTATCCATTCATTTTGACTAGTATTAAAATCCAGTTCATAGTGGCAAAATATAAGACTATCTTTAGTTCTAAAGTTAAAAGCTTTTGTGTGGTACTATCTTTCGAAATGAAGTACTCGACTAGTAACTTCGTTAAAATCCATTAGACTACCCATTATAAAAATTTCCCTCACGTATGTTGCTGTACACATAACATACCAGCAGTAAGAACTGGGGTGGCTCGCAAACTAGGTGGTTCTGGACTTCGACACTACTCGTATGTTCGTGACCTGAAGTCTCAGAAGAATCCAAGCGTATCTGTTAAACTAGGAAATTCTTTAAATAGAATATTTGCATTTACACTTTTAAACACTTGGATGGTTAAGGGTAAGGACCTGTATTGTGACTTTGGATCACAATTACATGGTTGGAAAAATACCCAGAAATGTAAAATCCTTAACTTTAAGTAGAACGTTCACTGTGCTTAGAGATCTGGTTTCAGAATCCTAACATTTTATCCGATAAACTGAAGACATCAAAGTGAGATATTGTAACTTGTAGAAATTAAAATAGAGACTGCACTTTAAAAAAAAAATCTACTTTCCAAATAAACTCAATTTTAATCTAGAAGTTTTAAGAGAATCGGATTAAAGAGTTTAGAAGTACCTCTAAACAAATAAGATTTTTATACTAAGGTGTAACCAATAAAGCAATCGTACTTGCTCTATGTTAATGTTTATAATTGACATAAAATGGTAATAAGTTTTAATAAATTTTGAAATTTTAGCAAAGTGTCAGTGAAAAAAATTTTTTAAAATTCATTAACTCATACTTTTATTAAAATCTAACAGAAATAAATTTAGTTACCTATCTGAGTGAGTTTCATTAAATTGCTTAGAAATAGCATTAAACAGTCTTGAAAATTTTAAGCTTTTAAAACTGTTGAAATCAATGCTGAAATATTTGATTTTTTTTTTTAAAGTGTGCGTCAAATTTAATTTATATATATATTTTTTGTATCAGCATATTTGTAGAATTAGATCATGTTCGGAAAACCATAATTTTTTTTCTTCAGAAAGAGGAAAATACTAAAGTGCATTAACTTGTGTAGTGTAAATTTTATTATTCAATAAATTCATTTACTTTTAATATACTATTTTAGTTGAATTCAATTCTAACAAAATTATTGAAATCATTGAAACAAAATTATTAAATGTTTGGTGTTTTTAATAAATGTTTTTTCCAAAATATCTTGTATCAGCTAAATTAACATAAACTTAAACTGTATAATAGTGATGTTTCGGTCGCTTTTTAGGCTTTATGGAATCAGCCTTGCATTTAATATTTAATGTGCATTCTATGTGCATAGTGCAAAATGACATTATCATAAGAGTACCTGAGAAGATTCGTAAATAAAAATGCTTACATAACGAGAATGTTATGTATATCTATGCAATACTTATGAATTAGGAAAGAAATATTGTATTTTTATTTGAAAATCATCAATTTGAAATGCACATTTGCTACTAAAATTTTAATATATAAGAAAATGCTGTTTGAACTGATAACTATGAATGAAAACAAATTTAATGTAGAGTTCTATCGCTCCAGTAAATTATAAAATTAATCCAAAACAATAATTTTAAAAAGAGATTATAAAATAAAATGCTAGAGTGCAAATTCGTTTAATTTACTTCATTTCTCAAAAATAAATTTTAGATTCGATCGAAATTTATATAATTTTGTCAAACTAGAAATTGAGTTTGTATAACGAAATTTTAAACGAAGTTTTGGCACCTAATTGTAACCTCTGTTCCTTAGCGAAATTATTTTTCTGAATTTTTGCCTTAGCATATGAGCTTCAAAACAGTTTCCTTATGAATCTTAAAATTTTCCCTTTTCTTCAGTCAAGAACTTCTTACTTAAGTCTGTCAAAATATCTATTTTAAAGATATCTATCTTATCTATTTATAAAGATCTGTCAAAATATCTATTTCACTTTTAGCTTACAAATTTCTTTTCGTTAGAGTTTAAACTTATAAAATCACTCCATGAAAAATTTCTTACTTCTTATTTCTTTCGACTTTAAGTTAATCTTTTTTTACCAATTATTAGAAGTAATTCCTGCCATAATTTAACTTTTTCCACCTTCTTAACCTAAATTTTTCCACCTTTTTTTTAGATAACTAAACATTTGTCTAAAGGCTTCAGTTTTGCTGCGTAGTTTGGATGTTACCGTAAAATTTTATTCTCAAATATGTGATGTTATCACCCAGTTAAACCTAAATAAAAATATTCCCTCTAATAAGTTATGTTACATTGTTTGACTTAATAAGAAATATAAAGCACATTCTTTGTAAGTCGTAGTTTGAGTCAAATCTGAGTTCGTAATTAAAGTTAAAATATCAAGGTTTAGATTATTTTTAACTTATGTAAAAGAGAACTAGATGCAAATTTTAAAAATCAAATTCTATTTCTTTTTGACGTTTAAAAACTTCACTGTCTTTATTGGTAAGTTTAAAATGGATCTTCTTTGCCGTCCTCAATTTTACATTGAGAATCGCTTTGCGCATTGGCAAAGGTCTTAGTAAGGGAAAAAGAATTGACAAGAAGTCTGCTAGTTTTAACGTTGAAGGGCAAGCTTATTTTTTTTCCTGGTATGTAGTTTGTTTGGCTCAATCTCTCATTTCAGTTACAGGGATAATTGCTCTATTTATTGCAATTTTTAAAGCTTCAGTCAATATTTTATATTTCAGTTTTTGATTGTTTTGTGTTTAGTGTAAAGAGTCTATTCATTTATGTTAAGTGTCATTGAACTTATTGTACATGCAGATATGCAAAGAGAAAATTTTTTTCTTATTTTTAAAGTATTCCTTCAATAATGCTGTGTATGAAAATATTATTCAAAGTGTGGAGATAAAACAAAAACTTTACAAATTAAACTGCCACTCTAGTTGCATTGAAGTGAAGCAATATAACAAAAGAATAATTCAATAATATTCCAAATAAATAAGTTAAAATCATTTGAAAATGAGCATATAAAAACAATCTAAGGCAAACCAAGAAAGGCTAAGCAGCATAGACCCAAAATTTGTATTCAAATATATTAATTTAATTAAAATTTAAAGAGATTAAAAATAAACACGAAGGCAATACACTACTTTTTCATGGGCACTGTACAAGCCTTTGCACGGGATCCTTTCAGTAAATAGCTGTTTAAATAAGTGTTTGTGATTCAAAGCACGATTTTAAAAAAAATAGTTTTCACTGTCAGCAACAGATGAAATATGGAAGTTTCACCATATGCCAGCGGTTCCCAAATGTGGAAGAGTTAGGACTCTTTTAAGGTATTAACAGTTTTGAAAGCCATAATTATATTTAGATCCAATCAAAAATCATTAGTTATTCAATATCTCACACGTCTTTACAAAGTTTATTAAAATAAACTGTTAATAGAAAAGAAATGGCAAATATTTTTAAAATTAANCAAAAAAAAAAAAAAAAAAAACAATTTTTCTATTAATGTGTTAAATAAATTGTAGAAAGGACATGCATTTATAAAAAATTCCATTAATATTTCCCTATGTGATCTTCAAATCGAAATGAAGCAACTAAATTTGTTTGAAATGTTTCCCTACTAGATTTTTAATAAAAAAATAAAAATTATTACACTGGTTATATTTTTTTAGCATTTATTCTTGATATATTTTTCTTCTTCTTGTTTTATAAACAAAGTACAAATATCATAATAAAATCTAGTTCATAACATATTAAAGTTCTGAAGAGGAGTAAGATGTATAAAAGAGAAAGCAAATTTTTTACATGCAATAAAAAAGAAAAATATGAACACATTTTTGATAGAACAACATTGCACCAACCTTAGATGAAAAAAAAAATGTATTATGCTTGGAAAATGGAACACAGAATCATTCAGAAAAGAAATCTTAGAAGTCAAAGCATTTCTTAGCACATTGCATTAAATCATTTTAAGGAAATCTGGCTCTAGGTTTTCCGAACAAGGCCTTTTCCACTGCATAAAAACTGCTACTCACAGTTGTGTTTCTTCATGTAGCCAAATAAATGATTATCCTAAAGATATCCAGATCATAAGGATGATGGTCAAGGACTGGTCATCTGATTTAAAATAGAAGTGTGCATATGTGTATAAATGCTCAGGGTTAAATCCTCCATCCCTGAAAAAGAAAAGCAAAATAATGTAATCTCTTAAGAGAACAAAAGAAAAAAAACACATTTAATTAAAAAACATTGGAACAATATACACTCATAGAAATTTTGATCTATATTTTGAATTTATTTTTATTTAAATGTGAGCAGAAAGTATCGTTTTATAAAAATTTATTATTCCCTATAAAATATTCTTATATGTAAAAAAAAAAAAGAGTTTAATTTTGATAATCTAAAATTCAATTATTTTTTTAAAAATCCTATTTTATTGTTCTTAAAATATTTCATGTAAGCTAAGTATTTGTATGATGAATTCAATTTTCCAATAAAAATTGGCTAAAAAATAAAAATGCTAGTACTAGAGTTTTAGTGTACAACTTAGTCGTGGTTTGGAAACCTAGGGCTGTTGCTCACTCTTCGCATGCTACTGATTTCCTGTGGTTTTGAAGGCTAAATGACACTACCCAGCCCAAACACTGAGGCAGTAAGTAAGAGACACTCTAATGCAAAAATTTAGAAATTCATCCCCTGCATGCCTCTTACTTACCACTTGCTTCCTGAGTGTGTGGTTTGCTATGCCGCAGCTGAGATGCGTAAGGTAGCAGGCCAATTGACATAGAATTATGCACAAGTCTCAGTAGTAGCATTTATAACAATAATAATTAAAAAATCAAAAAGCTGCACTGAAAATTTCATGATTTTTAAAAAATAATTTCAGACATTTTGTTCTAAATACCATTTGTAGATTCATGAAAGATTTAAGTAAACCAAGCTTCTTTTGAGATCCTATCAACAAAGAAAACATGAATCTTGAAAAATCAGTGCGGTTGAAAAATTAAATTTCGTAATTCAAATGCACTGAGAAAACTTCATAGTGAGCCAGACACAGAACTATAAGTTGGCACTATTTTTTTAAAAAAAATCTTAGTGCAAGTAAAAAATGCAATAATTTATTAATTTTATTTTATAAACCCCACAGTAACATATGAAGACATGTTCACCAAATAAACCTTCCCCTTCATTTTGAAGAACTGTTGGTTGAAGCCACGTTTTTGGAGAATTATGGATATATTCTTAATTTCATTAGAAACGACACTTTGCAGGGAATTCTCATAGAATTTTATAAATCATACAACTTGTTTAAATGCATTATCTACAGTATGAAAAAATAAGCATTATACACTTTAAATAGTTTTTGGCCTAGTGATAAGGTATTTACATTTACATCCTTAGATGTAATCTTTATTATAATTTGACAACTAAATTATTTTAGTTAACGCGTATATTAGAAAGTTTGCTTTTACGTGGTGTAAAATAAAACTCTCTTTTTTTCTTTGAGAAAATTGGCAAGGTTGTCTTTTTATACACATATGCATTTTAGCACAAGAAAGTTCAAATGTTAAGATGGTATTACAATTCAGAAAAGTTCCTTAATTATAATCTCATTAATACAGAATAGAAATCAGATGAACAGTTTCTGAGATCTGGTGGGACAAGTAATATAACTTTTCACAAAATCACATGTGACTAAAAAGTAGTTTATCACTGTTTCAAGAAGAAAAATGTAGTATAAACAATTAAAAGAATACATTTTTTTAAAGATTTCTAAATTTTCCAGATTTTTTTTAAAAATAAAACAAATGTTTTCATACAGTTTTTTTTGTATGTTTAATAAGAATAATTTATGAAACTGTAACTTAAATTAGAAGCTGAAAGAAAGACTAACTTTTGAAGATTTAATAGAACTATTAAATTGGTTTACATTTTTGTTCTGTTAAAAATCACATTATTTATTGACCTAGCAGAACCAAGTTGCATTAGAACTAACAGCTGCTCACAAGAGAATTAATTATTATTCAAACTAACGGGCTAATCAGAACATGCAATTAATTACTCACTAACATGTTCTGTTTACAATTTCAATGAATTTGTATCCTAGCTAACAACTGTTGCCAACAAGACATTAATTAGCATTTCAAGTAACAGCTGTTCCTAATATGTTCCGAAATTTAAAAATTCAAGTGGTTATTTAACACATCTTAGATAATGGGACAACTGAGAATATGACACATCTATGGCAGATATGCCTTCACAAACTTTATAAAAATTTTCTTACATAAAATTTTTTAACTTTACATTATTGAATATTTTTTTAAACGCCTAATAAAAATGAAGCATTTAAAGAAGTATTATAAACTTGTTTTGCATTTTTTATTACCTTTTCAACTTAAAATAATTAGGACTGAAATCAGTGATATATTTTTTACAGGGTTCCCACTCAATTTCAGAAAAAAAATTCCCTTACTTTTCCAGGTATATCAGGTAAATTTCAATGAAAATCAATACCATATTTTATCGACGCTACGAAATTTTTCATCAGAAAATTTTCATTCTTTTATTTGTAATGCTAAGTGTTAGATTTTCTATGTAAAACAAATATTATATGAGGAAGGAAGCATTTCAGTTTGTCTAAAATGTGAAATTTTTACAATAAATAATTGTAATAGATGTTAGAATTACTTAACTCGAATTTCAACAACTTAGTACTGTTACTGACAATTTTAAGACTGATTTTTTTCCAGGTATAAAGAAGGAATTTTCCAGTTTTTTGTAAAAAAATTGCAACTTTCCCTGATTTTTGGCGTTGAAATAAAATTCCCTGACAATTCCAGGTTTTCCCTGACTCGTGGGAACCCAGATTTTTATTGCCAATAAAAATGATTGAAAAACTGTATATTTTAGTCACAAAAGTCCATTAAATCTTCCCACCTCTAATTAGAAGTAATCCCATAAAGGATGGAAATATTTCTGATAAGTTATTTTTATAGGTATAAAATATTAAACAAAAACCTACACCCTTAATCAAGTGTGGCCATTTGGATTTCTTGACATAATTTCCTAATTTAAATCTACATATATTCGTATACAAATGCTAATATGAGAAAAATGCCCAAATATCTAAGAAAGTTGTAAACAAATTTTGATGTTTCACTTTTTGTTTGAACTGATATTGATTACAGAATTATAGTCTATATTATCAATCAAATTACTTCAATTTTTTGTATTGATTAAATGTTACAATAAATGATAATAAAAAACAATGGCATATATTATTAGAATACTCAGTCATATGAAATTAAAGAAATTATGCAATGATCAGTGCACAACTTTAGAGATAATTGTACCCGGAGTTCATATTTTCCTCATAAGATAGCATTAATGAGGAAAAACAACACAGTGAGTATGTTGTCCTTTTAAGATAAATATTTCCACAAAGAGAAAGTGTTATTTCTAATGTACTTATAATGCAAAAATAACTCATAAAATTCATTTTTCATTTCACAACACAAGAAAGTTATTAAAATGGTTGGGTAGCAGTTGTATTTCAACTTCTTCCTTTTACTCTGAATGATTTAAGAAAAAGCTGGAATTTTCTTACTATCTGGATCTAGCAATACGCCCTGACATCAAGAAATTAACACTCAAAATTTTTCAGAAAGTTTTTACTTTTATGGACAACATTGTATCAATGTAACTACATGCACAACATAAAACAGAAATTTCACTTAGTTAGAGAAACTTCATTAGCTTCAAAAATATGCAGATAGAAACAGAAGTCAACACGTTTAACTCACTAAAAAATAGGCGACTTGCAAGATGTCAACGAGAAGAAATAAAAGTAATTTAAACCATAAAATGGAAAATAAGTTGAGAAACAAAACTAGAAAAACTGCAATAGCCGAGCGTGAAACAGAACAAGACAAAGTATAGTGGCTGAGAGGAGCAAATCAGGTTCAAATGCATTTCCACATAATATGAAGAGATGGTGAGGAGGAACTGTTAACAAGGGAATCAGCTTTCATATGAATGAAACAAGATTTTAAGGCATCTAGATAAGCTAATATGACTATGGAGGATACAATTGTGGCATTGTCGAAAGTGAATCTATGCCTAAGATTCCAACAATGGGCAACAATTGATGATTTATTGTACTCTTGATAAAGGACATATCTATTGCATGCCAGGCAACTACTACACTTTTTGCAAAATATTTTCTAGAATGGTAGTCATTTTGAAACCAAAGCTTTCAGAATTTTGGGTAATTTTGCCAACATTTTAAAAGTCACACCACAAAGTAGCTGGAAACATGTGGCATTACATAAGAACTTCTAAATCATTTATATGTAGTGGCGTGGAAAATAGGATTAAATGAATAAAAAATATTACATTAAAGCATCAATTCAGCAACCACTAGAATAAATTTTTAAAAAAAGCGTAGAAAGTTGGCAGCCCTGCTATTGTGTTTAAGTCTAAATTTTAAAGCGTGCCTCGTTTTTCTCATGTAGTCAAGCTCGCACTGGCAAGTAATGTGGTAAATACCCTAGAGATTTTCAAAACTAAAAAGATCTAAAAAAAAAAGACTTAAATTTAATTTTGTTAAGTCCTAAAAATGACTTTTAAACCAAAACGAGAGGGGATATATATCATATAACAAAAAAAAATAAATAAACAAAAAGTAAAGCAACAAATTCACTGTAAGGATTCTAAGTGGGTTGTCCCGGTCGTAGTATAGCTCGAGTGTAGTTGAATCAACTATATAAATGTGAAATCCACGGTTAGCAGCAAGTAAGCGGAAGAAGTTAAGTTTGGACATTAAAGAAGATGAGTCAGAGTAAAGGTTGAATGCATGGAGAACAAAAGTGTGAAATATAGTTCTACAAAACTAGGGTGATTAGAACTAACTCAAGGAGTTTCGTTACAAGAACATCTTAAAAAGGTATGGTAAAATTAATTTTCCCGCCTAAGTAAATTGAACGTTGGGGTCAATTGAGTTGACAACAGAAAGAAACTCTAGAAAACCTCTTATCACTGTCTACTAAGAAAAAAATATCTTATCTCATAAGAATTAGAAAAATTAAAAACGTTTTCATAACAATGAATGAAAATTCCTCAATTTGTTTATAGTATTTACCATTAAAATAAAAATCAGTTTTCTGTGCTCGTTTGGACTGTACTAAACGTAATGCCATTTCAAATTGTGCTTGTTTCTATGACCTCCTATAAGTTTACAAATCTCAACCTGCTTTTAGACATATTATATATAACATTGCCTCTACATTGATTGTTTCTCGATATTTAGTTCTTATCATTTCACCTCTAGCAAAATCCATACTGTTAAAAAAATTTCTATAATTTTGTTTCCCAACTAGCACATTTTTCCTATTCCAAGAATATTATGCAATCTCTTGGTGTTGTTTCTCTTTTAACTAATGTCATCATAACGTGTAATAATAATGAATGACACACTTTTCCAAGCTTAGGCATAAAGAAAAAAAAAGGAATCGGAAACAGTAACCCAGAAGTCTTAGGACGAATTTGCATCCCTAGCGCCATATGTTCTTAGCTTTATACGGTCAACCATTCATAGCGTGTAAAAATGCTTTTTACCCTAATTTGCCCCTCTTGGCCACAGTGGTTTTTCCTGTTGTTTTTTCATCTTTATTTTTGTTTCACTCTCGGCTACTATGGTTCAACTCGACCTTATTTTCCATTGCCAACTTTTCATTTTATATTTCAAATTACTTCCTTTCTTCGCATTCACACCAGACAAGTTTTTAGAATGGGCACATATTTTTGACAGTATTAAAAATTTTGAATTTTATTTCCATCTGCATATTTTTCAAGACAATGAAGTTTTTTAATCAAGTAATATTTTACCGCATCAGTTTCTTGGGAATAATGCAGTTAATAAAATAAGATTATTTTTTATTTGCAATTATATTTATTAAAAAAAAATACATTACCATACATCTTTAAATGGGCCTCAGAAAGAACAATATCTCTACTGCCATGTCTCTGAAATAAAAATTTTGTAATTAAAAAATTATAATTTGTACTGATTTTTTTTTCAGTGAATTAAAAATTGAATTGTGAATTCAGGATCCATTTTTGTTTTTTCATTTTCTTCTTTTCGTTCCTTCATTTTCTACAAACATTCATATGTAGGTCTCAACCAAATATTCTCATACTTTAAAGTTTTTCTTTGTTAAAAAAAAGTGAAGATGGTTCAAATATATTGTATTAAAATGGCAATTTACAGTTCTCAATAAGTAAAGTACAATTTTTCAACATTAATCTATGCGATTTATTATAATTATTATATAAACGTAGGAAAGTTAAACTTAATAGCTAACTATTATTCCTCAGTTAACATTTCATATTATAATATACTGTTTGAAATGCAAAGATTTATATGTAGGTCTCAACCAAATATTTTCATACTTCAAAGTTTTTCTTTGTTAAAAAAAATGAAGATGGTTCAAATATACTGTATTAAAATGGCAATTTATAGTTCTCAATAAGTAAAGTACAATTTTCAACATTAATCTATGCAATTTACAATTACTACATAAATGTAGGAAAGTTAAACTTAATAACTAACTATTATTCCTCAGTTAACATTTCATAACATAATACACTGTTTGAAATGTAAAGAACTACTTATTTAATTTTCATTTTGGTGAGTTTTACAAATAATTACACTCAGCAAATGTGTGAAATTTTATAGATATTTCTTTTTCATTTTCAATTTTCGACACAGAACAGAAACAAAAGCAGACAAATAACAAAAGTAATTTTCAAGTAGGTAAAACTGTTTTCTCATTAGAAATTGCATATTTTAAAAACATTACATATTTGTAGTGAATTCACAGAATATTTCAATTAATAACATTTTCACCAGAGGAAAGGTAGGTACTTTATTTACGCCATACTAGAGCTGTACAATGGGCTATTGGCAATGTTCTGAGAATTATTCCCGAGGATTATCCGAAGACATGCCATGAATTTGAACCTCTGCAGAGGGATGGCACCCCTGCCTCGGTAGCCCGGCGACCTGCGTGCGAAGTCGAGCACTTTACAGCAAAACTGTTTAACGAGGACCGATTCCCCGCACCCTCTGTCCCTACGAAAGCTGATCAAAGTGGTCACCCACCCACAGGGAGTGATGCTTGACTTTGGTATTCTACCGGGAACAGTGTCTCTACTAGGACCACAAATGGAAAGGGAGTTACTACTAAAAATACATTACTTTCATATTTTAACTAATTCATAAAATTCAAAGATATAAATTTAAGAAAAAAATATAATTTTTTTTACTAAGATAATAAATAAATTTACACACTTCTTGAATTGAGAGCCATCCAAAAACCAAAATTTTTTGCTGATGATATTTACAACTAATTTTGCATAAAGCTGGACACTGTCACTAATTGGAAAAACTTAAATATTATGTGCTAAAGTTTGCCAAAGAAAGTATTATCTTCTTCAAAAAATATACTAATCTGATTGTTCATTAAAAAAATATATTTGTAAAAATATTATTTCGTATTTGTCATTCATAAAAAGTAGCATACAGATTACTACAAGAATTCCTTATAATTCACAAAAAGTAAATTCTGTGTATGTAAAAACAAGTTTATTACTTATTTACTTTACTTACAGTATAACTTGTTATTTATTGCACTTTAACAGAAAAATGTACAAATCATATAACACAAAAAAAATTTAAGTATCCAGATTGTGACTAATATTTAATGAGTACCAATATACAAACATTTAAATAAACGAGATATGCAATCATTATTTTAATAACAAAAGATAAATTTTAATTTAATTTCTTTTAATTAACCCTTTAACTTTAGACTTTTTACTCAATTCAGGGTACAATAAGTTTACTTTCAAACACAGAAATAGAATATTTTAAAATTTCAATGAAGAGAAACATTCTGAAATAACAAAAGATTAGTCTCAAACTTTCAAGCACATAAAATATTAAATTTTAATGAAAAACTTTGATATTTAATGTGCTTAATGAAAGAGTTAGGAGGAAGAATATGTTAAAAGAAACATTTCTGTAAAATGAAGAAAATCTGTTTTGAAATGCATAAAAACGACAAAACACAGTTTAAAAACATTGTATGCAATCAAAAAAATCCTTAAATAAAAATTTGAAATATAATGTCCTTAAACCTAGAAAATGAAGATTTTTTGTTTAAGAGCTTTTTAACATGTTCTTCGTTAAACAAAACATTACAAATCAGAAAAAATAAATAAATGTAGACAATACCAAAATTTTGTTTTTCCTGATCCGGATGAGCCACACATTTCTGGAACTTTCTTCAGTAGCATTCAACCTTTTAAAAGTCTATCAAGTGTTGCGCTCGGATTCAGATATTTTTCAATTTTTAAAACTTCAACTGCACTCAGACCAAGTCTGCCTTTTCTGCAGACAATCCAACTTCTGAAACATATAAGAGCATAAGAGAATTGTTTACTTAGGAATATTCTACTATTCTCTGAATTGAATTAGAATGACTCAACTCACAGAATTGTTTAATTCTCTCAATTTCTCATACTAAATTGAATAAACGTTTCTATTTGGTATTTGGCCAATTTTCTTGACTGAATATTGGACAAAATCACTATTCGATCGTTATATCTCGAATATTTATTATAATAGTATGATAACTCAATTAATATAATTTTTGATTTATTTGCGAATAATAAAAATCAAAACTATAATGTTCATTTCTTTGAAAGAAGGCAATTACATGGTGACTGCCAATACATTTTGATAGGTTTTCATATTTTTAAAATTTTTTTTCATTTATAAGTAATCCATATTTTTTCTAAAAAATTTATAGGGCCTAACATAATTATGCAGATAAGAAAAAAAGTATAAAATTTTAAATGTTTCATTTAGAATGAAAATATAAAATATAACCGACATTTCGTAGAAATAACAAAAAGTAAAACATATTTTTATTTTGAAATTCTCTTTTTATAAGCAATAATAGGATTTATTTTAAAAATTTATTTAAAATGAAATTTTAAATTAATAGGAAACAATGCAAGTACAGATGAAATGAAATATGAAAGCAGAAAAGAGCTCGTGACTGACATATATTACAATTTTTATGTGATGTTACTAATTCATATACTAACATTTTAATAAACTGTTTCCATTACTGTTATAAAATAATTAAAAGCAAAAATTTTTGATTTCATATCTAAAATAGTTAAAAGCTTTAAAATTTGTTATTGGAGACATGCTTTTAAATTGTTTATTTTTTGACTTTATTAGACATGCTATTAATTATTTTTGTTATATTACTATTTGTTTCATGGAATTGCCCTTAAAACAATCATTGATAATTATTCATCATTATTTACATGTTGGCAAATATCCTTCCTTTTTATAAATTTATAAAGTAATGTTTTGGAACAATAAATGAAAAATATTCACTCGGAAAAAGAATTTAGACTATCATCCAAGTTTTTGATGCTTGTTATGTCAAAAAAATAAAAAAACATAAATAAATAAAATAAAAAAAACAATGCTGGAGGAAATTTTTTTTACTAAAATCACTTTCAGCAACAAATATAAAATCAATTTAATCAATCAAAAGTCTAATTTAATGAAAAAAAAGTGACAATTCAAAAATGGGGGGAAATTCCATATTGCGATCTGTCATGCAAACTACAATAGCCATGGTACAAAATTGATTTTAAACTTGCAAATTTAAAAAAAACAACAACATGTAAATGTTTGCCTGGGGGAGGTTACAAGTTATACCATACAAGTTTGTCTTTTTTTGGGATTTTTTTTCTAGTTTCTTTGCAGGCCGCTGCCCGGAAGTTGACAAGACTTGGCGATCATTCTGCCACAAATCACGAAATGGTAATCTCTTCAATTTCTCCAAGTTAGTTCCCTTCTCTAATACTTTTTCAAGTTCCTCGCAGGAAACTGCCAGGAAATAGTTAAGACTGAAATATATCTGTTTAAAAGTTACTAAATAAATAATTGAATTGCTTCAAACTTTTGATTTAAAAAAGTTATCAGAGAATATTTCCATTTTTTTTTCTTAAAATAGTATTACGCAGAGGAATAATTATTCTATCATCAAAAAATTGCTAAACAAGAAAAAAAAAACACTCATAAATTGCACAAGAAGCTCCAATGTCATTTTAAAACATTTGTCAATAGATAATTTTTTAGGAAAATAATGTAGAGAATATTAATGTTATGAATGTAAAATTTGCATTAAAAATAAAATACGACTCGTAATCAAACCTATGGAGAAAACTTGAGTTTTTGATAACCTTTTTCATTCTTATAAATATTTTATAAACACCAACGAACTTCGATAACAAAGTTTGGCAAGTTCGTTAAGTTATTTTCAAGTTCATGAAGATTATAAATCCAGAATTAAACAGTTTAAAACGAACACTCTTTGACACTGGAAACGTTAACAATTCTCTAGCTATTATATATTATTTAATAACTACATACAAGTGATCTATGTGACACAAAATCAAAAACACTATTTATTTTTTTTAAAAGTTCGCATTGGATATCGCTACCGGTTGCTTAATTTTGCTACACTAAACCTTAGTAAACTATGGCTCTTGAACTTAGGATTCATTTTTGCTGCATATATAAAATTCGCGAATTCGGAGATGCGATTCAAAACCCGATTTGCGAATTTTTCGCTGATGATGCTGTGTTCCACAGTAGTTCAACATTATTTTCAATAAAAAATATTGTCTTCTGATGCTTGTACACTTTCCAGTCAGCCTACTAAGTAACCAAAAAGTTCATATCTTCGCTAAATTTGCCAAAAGCCACAGTATGCCACAGTAGTACTACATAATTTTCAAATAAAATAATTACTAGTACATTTTGTATCATTAGCTGTAACAGCCTTATTAAAAGCGGAGTAAAATATGCCTCAATTTAATTTTAAAGTGGCTTGTTTTAAATGTTAACTTTACAAGCTTATGACGTTGCTCAAAAATTAAATTATAAGACAAACAATTTCATCATCTTATTTTATACCTTATCCTGTTTAGTGATGAATTTATCGCATTTGTTAATGAATTAGAAATTAAAGTCTTTTAATCAAATTTTATTAAAAATGTACATGATTTTAATTTAAATTAAAATGAAGTAAGAGATTTAATCCGTAGATCAAATGGAAAAATATATAAATATATTCAGATTGAACAAATATTTAAATTAATGGATATTAAATTAGTATTTAAGTCAATTGGTTTATTATTCCACCTTTTCAAAAATATTTGATGCGTCTAAATACAATTGACTATTTCACAAATCTTACCCTAATTAGGATTTTATGACATTATTTAACACTGATGATGACTAATAACTGGGTATAATTTTACGCAAATTCTATAATTAAGCATTATTGTAAGAGGCAATTATAATTCGCGATCGCAACGCTCGAGTACGCCGTCTAGCGGGAGCCTGTAAATATCAGACATTAATTTATCACGTTTTCATTTAGTTCCATCGAAATCATTGACAGAATCAGACGCCATTTTTTAGCAGCAAATAAGAAACAAAATTTCCCTAAGGAAAAGGCCGNATGGAAAAATATATAAATATATTTAGATTGAGCAAATATTTAAATTAATGGATATTAAATTAGTATTTAAGTCAATTGGTTTATTATTCCACCTTTTCAAAAATATTTGATGCGTCTAAATGCAATTAGCCATTTCACAAATCTTACCCTAATTAGGATTTTATGACATAATTTAACACTGATGATGACTAATAACTGAATATAATTTTAAGCAAATTCTATAATTAAGCATTAGTGTAAGAGGCAATTATAATACATTTATTTTATCCACATTGCAGAATTATAAAACCTCTGATGTAACTAAAACTAAAAAAATATAGATATAAGAAAAATTCGTGTTTTTTCCCTATCATCTAATATTACAATAACAACAATGAAACTTAGGTTATAAAGGATTAATAGTTTTGTGCTCATGCTTGCCAATTGTAATTAAATATTCCTTTTGTCAATTTCAAAATATCATCTGATTCTTTTTGACCAATGAGAATATTGTAAAATCCCATCATTTGCCTTGACCAATGAAAATATTGAAAACCCATCACATGATTAAATTCTTATCGATATAATTTTCTGAAATATCTTTCTTTTCAACTTGAGACACTGCCATTGAAACTTAACAAGTGTTATTGTGACTCAAAGCTATTAAAAAAATTGCTTTTTCAACGATTGTTTTCCACACTTTGTACTTTGTTTTCATGCTTTTTTACTCTCTCTTCTGGTTAAAGTATTCATCTTTTTTTGACGGTGATTTATTTTTTCAGCTAAAATGCTTTTATGACCTCTTCTTCTGGATTTATGTTTTCACTAAGTACACTTGGAAGTTGAATGGTTTTAATCCTAAGATGGATTTATTTCAAAGGCTGAATTTGATCTTTTACGAGTTGAAGGTTTTTTACTGGTTTCTTTACCTTGTTTACCAAGTCTACTCAGTATCCTGTTTTTGGGACATTTTAATGTCCTTTTATGAACTCTACATTGCTCTGGATTTCTGTTCCTACTTTGTTCCTTAGATATTTTTGTTCAATATTTTGATACACCATTTGTTCAATGTGTATTTATTATAATCAATTCGTTTTTCGATGGTTCAATATCATTTCTATTAATTCTTAAAATATTTAGAATCGTATATTGGCTTTTGCCGATCTATTAGATTTCCTTATTTGGAAGTTGGTATATTTTTAAGCAATTAAATGAATCTTAAATCTTCATTTTCCTAATTTCTCCTTCAGAATAAATTCTTTTCTTCTATTTAGTACAAAACTATCCACAAATCATAGATACAATTTGGATTCTTTTAAATCATTAATTCTTTTATCGGTAACTGAATTTCATTTGGATTAAATCCCAAATTTTTTGGAATAGTTCATGGGCTGTTACCAATAAATTGGATTAGCTCATTTTAAAGTTGATAAGCTTTTAAGCAATTAATTGAATCTTGTATTTTTTGTTTTCGAAGCTTTGCAGCAGTTTCTTTTTCAAGATTTTAAAAACTAATGTTTTTGCTGATTATGTATGTTAAATAAGTATTTTCTTTTCAGGTAACATTTAAACTAAAATGAAAATTAGTTCGAACTGGAATAGTAAAGTCACCCATATAGTAAATATTTTATTTATAAACTGGTATGTACCTTTAAAACTTTCTACTAATCGAATCGCGAAACTAAAAACAAGCAACCTGAAAATAAATAAATAGTACTTGTAAACAACTTTAATCTAAACTGCAGTAGATAAAATACAGTTTCCTTTAGATTTTCATACTTATGTAAATATTAAAAAATAAATTCATATAATGAACTTATAAGAAATATTAAATCTTAATGCCTCGAGATTTATTTCACTTTAAACATGAGTTCATATATTTAAAATAGCTTAATAGCAATTAGATTAATTTTGACAGTTCCTATTAAAGTTTAATATTGTAGATTTTTAAATTTTTACAATATATTTTTTATACAATATTTTATATCTCTCTTCGTCGAAAAATGTGTTTTGAATGGTAAGTCAATTTAGTAACCAAAACCTTCATAACCAAAAAAAAAAACAATTATCGTTTTAAAACTTACTGAAGAAAGTATTACGTACCAAAAAAGTCATTACCAGATTAAAATTATTAATAGTGCATTTTAAGGCAAACTGATTTAATAATCGAAAAATTCATATTGTATTTAAATTCACCAAAAAGGATTTTATATCATAGTACCATATTAATTTAGAATTGTTTCTAATTATTAATAGTACGTTTTATGATAAGCTGATTTAGTAACCAAATATTTCACATCGTTGTTAAACTTGCCAAAAATATTGCCTACTTCAGTAGTTCCGCATATTTTCAATTAAAATTATTGCTAGTGCACTTTACGTCAAGCGTTTCTGATACCAAATAGTTCATATTATCACTAAACTCTCCAAAAAGTTTGCATTTCGCAGTAGTAGTACAACATTACTTTTAATAAAAAAAAAATTATTGGCTTTGTTGCTTCTACACTTTTTAGTAAGCCTACTTAGTAACCAAAAAGTTCATATTTTAGCTAAACTTTCCAAAAGAATTGTATGGCACAGTAGTGCAACATTATGTTCACTTAAAATTATTACTAGAGCATTTTAAGGTAAATCTATTTAGTAACCAAAAAGTTCATATCGTAGCTAAACTTGCCAAAAGTATTATATACTTCTGTAGTACCACATTATTTTCATTTAAAATAATTGTTGGCACATTTAGTATTCTTATTTATAAAAGCCTTATTTAAAGATGTATTAAATATAATGCCCATTTTAATTTTTTAAGTGACTTGTATTAGATGTTTACCTCACGTGGTTATGCCATTTCTCAAAAATTATAACACAAATAATTTCGTCATCTTTTTATTTTATACCTTCCTCCTATTTTATGACGAATTTATCGCATTTGGAAATGAACTAAATGTTTATGCCTTTTAATAAAATTCTACAAAAAATTACACGTTTTTTATTTAAATTAAATTTAAGTAAGAGATTTAATTCGTAGATCAAACGTACATTCTGAAAAATAAATATGTTTAGTTTTAACAAATTTTTAAATTAATGGATATTAAATTAATATTTAAGTCAATTGCTTTACTATTCCACCTTTTCAAAAATATTTAGAGGAGTATGGGAAAAAATTGGAGATTCTGTCATTTCCATGTCTTTATGTCTCTTCGGAGTTTATTTATGCAGTTCTTCCTTTGGCACTCTTGAATTCAAAATTCTTGTAAAGAACAACATGCATGTGTAGTTTTAAGTATCAGATAAGTTTATCATCGTAAGTTTAGTATTTAAGCAAAATTTACCTTGACATCATTTTGGCTTTTGTTTCATATTGTTTTGCATTAAAATATCTAAGTTTCATTTGGCATTCTGGTTATCAAAATTATGTGTTCAGTAGTTATTTATGCTACTGTATTTATTTATTATTTTTTTTATTTGCATTGTTATTTGATTGTGGCAGAATTCATAGATCTACTCTTTAAAAATATATTTTCATGGAATGTACGGAATTAATGATTCTTTTACTCCTCGGGGGGCTGTTGCTCATGTTCTGGCTACTTATAAAAATCTGTCTGACAGCCCTCTTGGGGAACTGTTTTGATTGCTAAACACTAAAATAACAACTATTCTAAAGCCCAGTGACTACTTAACGCAGTGACCATGATAAAACTTCAAAAGTGGTAGATTTTACAGATAATGGTCGATGCGCATGATATAGAAAAAAATTAACCTTTTGTACATCATCAAATATTCTTCTTAGTGTTTAAGCAGTTAGAATAAAATAGCCTCGCCTCCTCGTTTGGCGTTCCCTGGGCAACATTGAGATACAATACAGGGATTATAAGCAAAGAATCATTTGTATCACAATGGCTAAGAGGTTATATGAAAAAGTGGAAATTTGATAAATTTAGTATTAATAAAGCACTCTAAAAACCTAATAAATAAGAATTTTTGTTTTAGCTGAA